AAAATTCTATCTGATAATGGTGCACATTATCATTGCTCCGAATTGATGGCTATGATTGCAAATTGGAAAATTTGGTATGAGGTGGATGTTCATAGTTGGACCTTTTTGGAAGCAGGGGAAGCCAAAACAACAATAGATTCACATCATGCTCAGGTTTATAATTAATTGCTAATAATAAATTTATTATAAATAAAATTAATTACTTATCTTTCCCTTAATTCCACAGGTATCACATGCAATTAAAAGATATGTTAGGCTTGGACATAATATATCTGAAGGACAAGATATAGTAGAAGCTGCCAAAGAGATTAAAGGAACATCAATTGCAAATATTGAGCCTGATCGTAAGCATAAAGAAGAAAAAAAACCTATAATTCCTGGCATTTCAAATTGGTTTGAATTCCAATGGCCAGTTGAAGGAGAGTTTTCTGGTTTCGTTCGTGGTAGAGCTCTTCCAAATTTTGGAAAATGTAATGATTTCTCTCCTGAAAACATTCATAAATCAATGAAGGGAGGTGAACAACATAGGCCAAATCCTCAAATTTCCACACATACTGACTCCCAGGCTCAATGGATAACACCAATGCCATCAACAGGTTTGAATTAGTAATTTCTTCTAAATAAAACAATAAATAAAAAAAAGTTTTTATTTTCCATATTCAAATATATTAAAATACATCATCATTAAAATCTATGTCTCAAATTACCACTTATTTTTTAGAACCAGGTATGGGATTGGATAAATTAAAGAAAGATGGTATTAAAAAAATGTTGGATCAAAGAGGCCTAAATTATGATGAAAAAAATAATCGATCAGATTTAGTTGCACTTTTAAGAGCAAACATTGAATTTGAAACAGATAATAAAATAGAAGGTAATAAAATTATTTTTCTAAATATCTACCAACTTGGCTAATTATGTTTTTATTATCTAGAAGCAAAGAAAAGAATGGACTTAGATGTAATAGTGGATGATAAAGATGATATAGATAATTTACAACCAAGAAAAAAAAAAAAAAAAAGACTTATCTATTATAGAAGAACAATTTGATAATGCTGAAAAACATATAGCAACAAGGTATTTGGGAAATTTGATTGTGTTGAAACTCTAATGATTTATTTATGCATCCATTTATTTATATAGAAATTATTTATGTCCATTTATCTATATAGAAATTACTTCCCGCTTGGCTGGGCTTTAAAAGAAAACCAGGAATTTGGAAAGAAAGGTGGTGGAAAACATATGTCCAATAAAGTAGTTGAGTTATTAAAGACCTTTTTTCATACAGGTGATGCATGTAAAAGTGAACGATATACACCTAAAGAAATGCTTGAAGAATTGAAAAAAACGTGGAAGTAGGTGAGTTGGAAGTAATTGACATACCAAAATTAAGTACAATTGAAAATTGGATTAGTAGGTATTCCAGACAGCACAAGGTTGCAGTTGCTAAAAAACAAATAAAATAACTAAATAAATAGTTTTTATTGTTTTTATTACTTTTCTCAAGTAAATCATAATAAGTGAATTTATTTTAATAGTATGTTTTTTTACCCATAATCCTGAGCCGATTCGGAAATTAAATTTGACAGGTAGAAAATAGATACAGTGTGTTAAGAAAAAAATTGGCCTCCGGAGATATAAAATTTAAAATGCATAATTTCCATATTAATTAAATAA